ACCCGTGTTTATTCCCGATCGCATCCCCCTCTCAGCAGCCCGCCAACCCCTCTTTCCAAGCTCGACACTCTTGCTCATGATGGCCCTCACTGTGGCGAGCAAGCGCACCACACGAGCCGCTTGGGCATCTATCTCCCGCCTCAGCTCATCACCCTCGAGTTCTTCCACTTCAGCCTCTGAGTCGAACAACTCGGTGGCATAACCAGGTTCGCCATCTCCTTCCTCATCCTCATCTCCATATTGTTCTGATCCTCCCTCCGCAGATGATTGCACGAAAGGGTGTGTGATGATTTGAATTTTGTCGTTGTCGCTCAGTTCGTGCACGGATGAGGCAGGAGAGGATGCAGGCAGCAACTCGCCCTCAGGCTCGGGCTCGGATTCTGACTCAGGATCGGGATTGGGCAGCGGGACGGGTTTGGCTGGCTCAGCTGGCTCTGGTGTCTCCTCGAGCGGTAGCTGGGCATGAACAACTGCCTTCACAGCGTGAGTGTGAGCAGCTCTGGCAATCTTGCTTGCTCGGTCCCTCCCAGGAGGCATGGTGGACAGGGTGCTGGTCGTGATAATTCAAGTTAACTGTACACTACGTAGCTGCATGCCTAGAGTACATTTTGAAATGCAGACAACTCCGAAAGCCCCCAAATGCGCCGCTTGTGCCGCGGCGCAGTGCGGCACCCGGGCCAGAAAGTTGCCCTCTCGATTTTGCGCCTTACGTAAGTTTCCCACACCTTGTTCAAAAGTGGCGGCCTTTAGTCAAAGCACACCATAGCCTGGCGGACGCAGATGAACTACCTAACTACATCATCAGGTACTATGCCAAATACGGTAATCCCAGTATGTCCGAGCCATGCCACGAGCCCACGAGCGCCCTCTGCATCGCCCAGTTTGAATCCCTTTGCCTCCTTCCCTCATCTACCCTCCTCGCCAACGCTTCCCTCTATTGGAAGATGCCTCGCATGACTCGCATATCCATTTGCTTGGGTCCTGCTTCACTCGAACACATTCGAGATGATACTGAAGACCAGGTTAGTGTTCATTGGAGTGCTTTGTGGCGAGTGCTTACCCAAACTGTAGTGCATCCGTGTCAGCAACGGCTAGGCGGCCGCTTACTAACGGAGATAAGGACGAGCGAGTTTAACCAAGATAAGCAGCTAGGTAGCCACATAGTTTAGCTTGTTAGTGCCGGGTCTCCCAGTCAAATAATGGTGGTTTAGAGCCGGTCCCCTCGGTCAAATAATCATATCTGACGGCGGGGCTCCCTATGCTAGTACTAGTAGCCGGGGCTAGCAGGTTGACTGTAGGCACTGGTTGCAGGGTGTGGCTGGGTAGAATACAGGTACTGTAGGGGACCAGCCGTGGCTTCTGGGCATGCATAGGGCAATCGTATACTGGTACTGTAGGGGACCAGCCGTGG